ATATGTAGAATTCACTTCGCCGAAACTTTGCTTCGTTCAATGAGGATGTATGAAGGAGTTGCGGCGTTTGCACAAAGTTTGAGAGTGAACAGGTTACAAAGGTCGATCTTCCTGAATTCTTGATTTCTCCAAGGACGAAACCCGCCCTCCTATCGTAAGTAGGGTGCGTAAGAGCAATAGTCCAAGTATATGTGCGAGTCGGATTCGAAATTACTTTCAAGAAGACCACGGGTTTTAGATTCTCTCGCCTGCGAATAACGTCAATCCCCGCAAGTCCGATGATTCTGTAAGTTAGAACAAGGGTAATTCGTATTGACAAAAGCTTCTACCTTGATCGATATCGAAGAACTGGTAAAAGGGTTTGTATTTTATTGTTGCTCAGTTTGTGAGAATTGAGAATCGTCAATGTACCTTGTGATTTCGGGTAGGCGTTATTGTGTTCTGGCTTGAAGTAAAATTACGGCTGCATCTTTCCGGGCGGCACTCCATTCGAGGCAAAGGCTGGAAAGGAGCCTTTGACTTGAGGAAAGGGTGTGTGAAAGAACACATTTGATCTTTGATAACGGGAGCTCGTGAGTTGCCAGCAGCCTCGAGTGTACCAAAAGCGGGCCGCCATAGAAAGCTCGACCGTGAGCACCAAGTTCACGGATTTGTCGAGAACGTTGATAGCAGCAGTACAATAGCGCTAGGTGAAATCACATCCGTACCGTAAAACAGACCATGTGCCAGGACGGATATGAGTGATCGTACGTACATTGGACTCCAATGAGCTGCTTCGTCGACATTTCACAGTATGCTTAATTATCTACAACCCAGCAGCATTTCAGAAATCTCCTACGCCGCATCTTCGGTTTTATTTTTATTTTCTGCGGCGGTGGCTCTTATGCCCGCAAAGTACCAGCAGGAAATGACGAGGTTGATGACTTGTGGCCATGCAGTTGCATGTGCAGACCATGATCAGCGGTATTTTCATGTTTCCTGCTTACCGGTATTCTTCTAAACGTCATCTCTCCGAAACGGATGAATTGAATATTCGACTAGGAGCGGAAAGTTTGGAAAGTTTGGGTGGTGTATAATGTTGAACTTCGCGAGCCACGTCGCACCACATACGATCCTAAAATTAAATGAAAGGTGAGAACAAGACGTGATAACTTGTGACCATACAATCTATACTCAACAGTCAACTCGGTCCCATGTTTTGCTCCCGACGTGTTTCCTTGGTGCAATTGGTCGAACGCTCGAAGATCCGGTGAAATCAAGTCAACTTGCGGTAAACCACAAGGATGCTAGTGGAAAGAATAACACCTTCCTCAGGCTATTGGTAAAAGTGCTCTAGAGGGTGAGTGAGCACAATTTCTCAAAAAAACAACAACATAGATTCACACCCACATCTCCATGGAAATATGCAGAGTAGAATTAAGATGCAAACCCTACAATTTTGCTACAATTGATTAGTTTTCCGGCCTCTTAATTAAAAGAAGCCGGTAGGAAACCTTATTTTCGGTGAGAAACCGAACAACTTGATGGTTATATCAGCACGGCAAGTTCCGATCACAAACTATGTTACCGTTTTTGGATTATCTAAGAACGAAACATCCATCGTTCTCGGAATGACCTGAGCGGTCTACAGGCGCAGTTGGCGTTGAGTGGAAAACAAAACATGAAAGAATCAACAACAATCTGCCAAATACACTGTAAAGAAGATCTTCTAACCGTCCGGATTTTGTAGATCTCCTCATCTCAGCTATTGAGCATCACACCACATGAAATCTTCACGGGCGCTGACTTTCAAGTGAATTTCGCTGCCCTTGGGACGCTCGCTGGCCACAACATATCTATTTTCCGACAAATCGGTATATCAAAGATTGTATGGATGCTTCGATACATATGTACAACAGCAGAGAATGAGACGAGCGAGAATCATTTGTTGATATCGCAGTCAAAGAAGTTTTATTTATTTCAAAACTCGGATCTGCATAGCAACGAGAATAAATGTCCATCCATGACGAGAAGTTTATGATGATTGAGCGTGAAGGAATGGAGAGCTATATGCATTGTGTTGTTTAGTAACCCTAGCTAGCGCGACCACAACGTTCTCTTCGGAGTTGTATGATCGGGCATAGCCACGAAGGCGATGCGATGTGTACGAGCTTGAACAAAGGGGCAGTAGAAAAAAAAACAAGGCATAGTCGGAGATGTGCTACTCCGTACCTCTTAAGGCTTGAATATTTTCAGGAGAGTGCGGAGGAGGCAGAGGAGAAGGCAGAAAGCGATGTCCAGCAGTTTCCTCATTGAAGCTCTACCATTCAACGAGGAAAAATCTGTCCTGCCGCGGTGCCTATCCATACGCTGCGGACACACCAGTAGCTTTAGTACCACTGAGTCTGTGTAGTCCGAGAGGTGATCAGTGTATGCTACAAGGTGGAAAGACGACATACTTACAGGCAGTGTGTGGTAGTACCCTTCTTCACGTCGCTCGGTGTTAATCCTCTACTCGAACATATCAAGCCGTTCCCTCGAAACAGGTAGAACGCGAGCAGTGCCAGGTTGAAGGTGTCAATCAAAACGCAAGAATGGAGCTTGACGTACCACTTACTCCGTATTCGACATCCCAACAAGGTGTGATCGCTTTCGATTGAAAAAATTTGGTCGGTTGCCGAGTTGTTATTTCACACTGCGGAGAGGATATGTTCTATCAGGAGGGATGGCGGAGTGATGAACGAGCTAGACGAGTCCCTGTCGCTTTTTTACCGCCACAGGGTTTCGTCTGTACCCGGATTGCAGTGTTCAACTTGGACATATGGTGGCCTTGGGGGGAGGATAAAAATTACACTTTAGGCATAGTGTGTTCGAGTTGATGTTGAGCTCCCTAACGGTAGGTATCCAGATGGGGGTTTTGGCGACCTTTGAGCCTGTATCTAGACTGAGACTGAGCTTATCCAAGCCGAAGAGTCCATCAGATAAAAACAACTTACCAAATTAGCGAAAGACGTTCATCTTTCGTCGGAACAGGAGTGTGTGGTTGTTTGACTGAGAAGCCTGGGCCACATGCTCCCCGGGGAGCTGTTGTAGAAAATAGGGTAGGCAACTAACGGACGAAAGACTCTACTCTGTGATTGAATACCGAACTTGGATATGGGAACCTAAACAATGCGGAACAGTGCGTGTACGTTTTCGTCCGCCGAGATAATTATAATACGCCCTTGGAGGGGGTGATAGATTCCAGATAGATGATAGTTTGATGTTCTTGTACCACGTCATGAAGCATGAGTGTGCTTTTCTCCTAGACTCCTGACCGACCACGATGAAGGCGTGAGTACGAATCATATCGAAAGGAGAAAAGACTTGTACTTGTCCTATTTGTTTGGTCATCTCCGATCCCCCTTCTCATTGCCGGTTAGCACTAGTCGTTTCCGCCACCCCTCGTTTGTTTTAAATTTTCATTCTCCTTCCAAATATCAAATATCCAACGGTACGTTCGGTTGTACCTTGCAATTGTTGGAAGATATGAGCGTAATTGGACATACGTTAACAATCTGTCACGTTTGTCGGTGTAACAAGTAGTCCAGAGAAGAGCCCGCCCAAGTTCGGATCGTTCCAGCAGTTTCCTCTTGTGTTCTACCCGTCGTGCTCATGGTGTAAACTTTCTTGAAGGGAACTGTGACTAGTGTTGTCGACATCCTGGCGAGCCAAACCGAACTTCCTCGAGCCACCACGACTGATATCCGCGTTTGTTTAACGATGGGTGGTGAGTGAACAGTCCAATTCCTCTTGAAAAGGGATGATATTCAATTGCAACCGACGCCTTTCTAACTAGATTATTCGACGATGAGAAGAGGTGTCAGTTGTACGGCCGAAAACCTCAATAGAGTAAAGAGGTACAGGTGCGTTAAGTGTTGGAGCTATTGCTGTCGCTTCCTTGAGGCCTGATTTTAAATCCCATCCCAGTGTTTTTCCAGCGGACAACTGAAGTAACAGGTCATCATCATTTCCCCCTCTACAATCGCATCTACTGAACTCACATTGTCTTCTATACCTCCACGGCAGTGACAAGAACATCGAAGCGTCCACCTTGATGTGTTGGTTTTCGAACAAAGGCCTTGCTTTATTGGTGAATGAATAGCTTGTCATCGTCTTGCTACGAACTCCCCGATTTCTTCAAGGCGAAGCGACCGATAAGACGTCGCACCAACCTTCAAGTCTAAGGCTCCGATGTTAGTGAGAAGGAAGGGAATACACCTCATACCCTGAGCTGTTATGTCTGTAGGGAATAAGCAAGACACGCAGTCAGGAAATGCATTGGAGGAGCTAGACGATACAGGATTAACTCGTCACCTTCGCTTCAATTCAAGTTAAACCGCTTGTTGAACGGTGAAACTCAGGATAATCCACGGATAGGATGATAGTTTTCCTCTTGTCCAGTACCTTACCTCGAGCTAAATGAAGGCCAGTATGATGAAGTACTGCGGAGGAACTCTATCAGGTTTCGCGATTGAAGGCGTGATTTTGAGACGTCGCCGGGCCCCCGTCACCTCGTGGACTCTCAATTGTCCCAAAGCTTTCTGTCGTGACTCCCAAATACGCTCATAACCTGTTTCGTAGGAAGTGGTCGTGTAATGCAATCCAAGTTCCCTGAGAACAGGATGGTATTGTGAGTCAATGCGAACGGCTTCGCGAGTACGGGGATTTCGGTAAGATTCCGCACTAATCAACATCTATCTTGGTTTTTTTGATGCAACATACAGTTACTGCATATATTACCGGTCCAAAACCCAAGCCCACGATGCCTTTGGAACCTAGACTAGCATCGCATGTGACGGTTTGTCTCGAGACACAAAGGAGTCTAAAGGAAGACACATTTCTCTCTTCCGAGGAAACGACATGGAGACCGATGGTTATGAGGGACGATTTACTCACCTGAAGTTGTAGCACGGTGTGTAAAATGTAGAACCAGTCTTGACAGAAAATAGAGTCGATTGTTGGAACTCGAAAAAAGACAATGCCCACTACCCGGTTTGAACGAGTGACCTCACCATCACGTCATGTGACATACGAGTGGCGCGCTCTACCACTGAGCTAAGCGGGCGTTACAACTGTTGATCGAAGCAATTACATCACATCTGAAGACAATGATGGCAGTCAGTCCCAATTTTTTTCGACCTCCCTTATCAACCGGACGACCAAGGATTGCATGAATCATAAATAAACATGCGCATATGTTTCGGCGAAAATACAACATCGTACGTTCGGACAGAGAGACTCCCTTTCCGGCCGGAACTCCTGAGTGAATAATGGAATCAGACGATCTCAAATCTCCTTTCCCCATGGGCCCATACTTTTCGCTGCTATGTAAGGACCACCACATTCTGATAATTCCACTATGATTTAAAGTCTCTCTTTATTGCTTACCTCGCTCATCTGCCCTCTATGTTTCGAACTTCCAACCTTTGGCGATGTCGCACGATCAAGCTCAACAATGCCGCCAATGTCGTGATAGGAGGCAGCAGGAGATGGATGAGTGTACGACCGGAAGAAAGTGCTGTATCTTCCCGTGAGTAACATTCTTACTTGCAGTGCCAAGACAGATAAGGTTCATACCATCCGATTTCGTTTCAATCTAGAACGTAAAAAGGTTACCATACAGCACTTGCATCATTTACGCAAATCTGGTACACCGATTACTATGCTCACAGCTTATGATTTCCCCACGGCCAGAGCTTGTGAAGCTCATGGTATTGATATAACGCTCGTTGGAGACTCTTTGGCTCAAGTTTGCCTGGGATACGATTCAACTATTCCTTTGACATTGGACGAAATGATCCATCACTGTCGAGCAGTTTCAAGAGGGACTAAAAATCCGTTTCTTGTCGCTGACATGCCTTTTGGCTCATATCACACGAGTACCCATGACGCCGTACAGAACGCTGTGCGGTTAGTGAAGGAAGGTGGAGTTGAAGCGGTTAAAATCGAAGGCGGCCTGGAAGTTGTCGATATCATCAAGAAGCTCACCTCTATCGGTATTCCTGTGATGGGGCATGTTGGTCTCTTACCTCAGCGCCACGCTATTCTCTCTGGATACAGGGTACAAGGTAAAGACGCTACCTCAGCCGCCGCAGTTCTTGAAAACGCTCTCGCTATCGAACAAGCTGGAGTATTCTCAATGGTCATTGAGGCTGTTCCCCATCTGTTAGGCTCTTACATCACCAGTCGATTAACGTCTGCGGCAACTATCGGTATTGGTGCAGGTCCAGGTACGAATGGTCAGGTTTTGGTATGGGATGACTTGATGGGTACTTGGGGAGGCCATAAAGCCAAATTTGTCAGGAGATTTGGAGATGTGAAAGGAGAGGTTGAGAGCGGTGTGAAGAGTTATATTGATGCGGTTAGAGAACGGACTTTCCCTGCTCCTAACGAGAGTTACGAGATGCCTCAAGTGGAGTGGGAGAAATTTAGAAAATTGGTAGGAGAGCAGGATAGCAACTCTGCTAGCTCTTCTTGACATTTCTAGGCACATCTGTCTGTAGGTTCCTCTTTATATTGATATCTATCTGTTCGGATGGTCAGATCATATTTTATAGTCAAGGGTGGTTTTACTCGTGGACGACAACGGGAATATCGTCTTGAATAATACCTCGTTTCCTATTTGTAGCTAGATACTTACATCCTGCAAGCTAGCTAACATCGTTAAGTAGAAGAGTGTTCATAGTATAAAGGAATGATAGAAGATGTACCGCGATCATCCCGCGCCGGGCCACCACTCTTTACCGTCAAGTATTCGAACACCTTGGCGTGGCCTCAATTGACCGCCGTGTATTGGGCGAAAGCTTGAACGTATGAAGCGGGCAAATCAACTCTGGTATTTATACTTTGAAGTCTTCGTTTACGAGAGTCAGGGTCACTCCGAGTCTGTAATTATGACAGCCTGAGTGTTCAAGTTGTACCTCTCTGAAGCGTGAAAATTTTCACACATGTGGTTACAGTAAGGGGACGACAGGGTGGTTGGCATGGTTGAATGGTCGGAAATACATGAAAGTACCGATTGCACAGTAGAGAATTTAAAATGATTCCGTGTTTTTACCTACATCTGCGCAACAGCCTAAGCTTGCCAGAAATCTAGGGAACCGACCAGTGACCAGAGGTGGTCGAGCACTTCGAAAAGGTTACGGCCATTGACATTCTAGGGGAGAGGTCGAGATTAACCAGGAGAGGAAAAGATACCAGCTTGACCTGATGCGCCAGATTGTGACCGCGGGTATCAATAATCTAAATAAAGACTAGGAAAGTAGTTCATGTGTATTGCTAAATGACCTACACACACATATTTCCGTGAACACTACTTACAATAGTCGGGTTTAATTCCACTGCAGTAACGACAGGTAGTCACAATGTCATAAAAGAACGACGCTGAATTCCGAGAATAAAAAAACGAGAAGATGGCATATAAATGAAGTCCGTAAAGCGATAGAACTGGGAGGGGAGATAATAGACAACAAAGGAAACCAGGAAAGCTACTGAGATGGCACGAAGGTCTTCAGCCGTTCGATCGACCAGGAGCATCGATCAATACACCGACTAATAGCCTTACGAGTCCGGCAATGGTACAAAGCTGTGACCGTTGTGTGACTCAAACGTCCGTCATGCTAATATTGCCATAACGATTGAGACCCTCCCAGTCTTGAAGAACTTTTCCAGGAATGTATCGTCCAGGCCAGAAAGGAGTGAAGATAGCGATGGCGATGAATAATGGGAGTGTATCGAGAGCGTAGAACAAAGACTCCGTTGTGGCGAATTTTCCACCAAACCCTTGGCTAGCTTCGATGGTTCGGTAAACTGATCTTACCTTTAGAGACGAAGGTATGATACCACGGGTAAGACCAGGAAGGACAGAGAAAGAAAATAAATCAACGCACGATGATTCCGGCACAACTGACACTCAAAGCAAAGGCAAGACTTCTCCAATCGTTGTACCACTCCGTCCTGATGGCGTCCCTGTTCCAGATCTGAGGTTGAAGATTATGAACGGAGAGAAGGAGTTTTACGAAACAAAAGGTGAAGAAAACGAAAGAAATAAGCTGAAGAATGAGTCCACCAAGGAATACCTATGAGGCGAGAACCAAGCCAGTTAGTCTTGGAACATTGAGGTGCTACCTCGAGATTAATAGGACGTACATGAGAACCCAGATTCCTTGTACTCTCGTTGTCGATGATTTGGAGTGAACCTCCTGTACTCTAAAATTATCTCATGGTTAATATCGATGCAGGTCAACAGAGTCCGGAAACTACTCACTTGCATCAAGAAGGTAAAGACATCGGAAAGCACAAACACCAAGGTGATTCGACGGGCTGGGACTAGTAGGTACTGACTGCATTGCAACAATGTCGCCAACCGTCCGAGAAGCATATAGTTCGCCGCGATGAAACCGCATGGTGACAGGAGAACTAATAGATTCTCTATGATGTAGGTGCCTTTGGAGAAAGGATTGCTATGGAGCGCGAATCGGGCGGCGAAACCAATAGCAAAGGCTAACAAGAAGTGGATGGTGATAGAATAAAATAAATATAATCGTCGAACTGGGGAGCCGTAAAGGAGAACGGATTACATACTGTATTCAGCAATGAGCATGGCCAGCATGAACTTCCCGCCCCGTTTCCACATGAGGTAGGTTTGACAGAGTGCATTGCCCAGTATCAAAACTAGGGCGGCATGTTAGTGCCACAGACCTTAGGGCAATTGACTTGGACTGATCAGAACGTACCAAAGGCGATTCCAGTCAGGGTGTTGGAGGGCGTGTACCCTAAGAAATTGAACTTGCCGTCGGTACCCGTTGAACTGTCCGTTGTCGAGTCACTTTGGGCCAGAGATGGCGTGGACTGCGACAGAAGGAAGAGGATGACGAACGCCAGGTAACACTCGAGTTTGGAGATCGGGAGAGGCCACATGTCGGAGTACAAAGCCACGTATAAAATCTGAAGGCACGTCGGCGACAGCGTGGACAATGCGAGAGTAGGTAGCGGGGAAGCGTTGGTAAAAGAGGATAAAAATTCGTGAGGATCTATCTTCGACTGAGGGGTGCAGTGGGGTGTGTGGGGTGTGGCGGGGGTGGTAGGTGGAGAAGGAAATGACAAGAAAGTCGAATTTAAATACCTCCAAAAAAGAGGCGATGCACAGTTTGTGTGCTTTGCACGATAGTGTGGTGAGGGAATAGAGAAGGAAGAGAAACTGCGGTAGTAAAATAACAGGATCACAGGATGGAGGTGGAGGGGAAGAGGCGGTTTCTTGTCGTGGTAACAAGATAGTGTAAGGAGGACGCTGCGGATGGAATTGTGGGCCGTTAATGGGTTGAGGAGATGTACATCGCGATTTTCGGATCGACTCCAGACTATGGGGCAGCAAGGTGTATGAATTTTTCAGGAACAAGACTCTGCTAAGACAAGGTCGCAGTCGATCAGGTTTTTCCGAAGGAATATCCAGAAACAGCCAGAGCTGCCTGTATATTGCTGGCAAGAGACGAGTGATGTTCAGTAAAATCAAAGTAATATCCGTAAAAAAAACAAATTGAAGAGACTGGGGAGAACAGTACGGGTGTTAGTAGCGCCAAACAAGCCTTCTAAACTGGCTTATACTATTGGCCATGCTTAACCGTCGATCGCAGGTGGTGCATTTCAATGCTCTTGAAACTGTGCTACGGTAGACCCTTCTTCCTGTTTGCAAAGTACTTGAATTCTGCCTGCGGATGGACAATGATACATTTTCCACCTCCATGGACGATCACCATGTTCAGCGATGGAAACAAAGAATGGGCAGTCGTTTGGAATGATCACTTGCTGGAATTTATGATCTTCGAATTTTTTTTCAGCAATGACACAATGCCTCAGTAATGTAGAATCAGTTTCAGCATTTTTGGACGAGTGTTTGGATCACCTTCATCTGCCTAATACGGCAATCAACAACAAGTTCGCAGCGCGCAGCGTATCACCAAGAAAACATTTCCATATTGGTCTACAAACAAATTATGTGAGATAGATGTGTCAACGGCCCGTGTACAACTTCTCGAAACTGAAAAGATGCTCAACTGGAACGTTGCT